TGAGAAATAATTATTTTTTATTTCATATATTTGTTCATATATTTAATTATTTTATAAAATTAACTTTAATATTTTGTTAATATTCATATTTATATTTAAATTTCTTTATGCTGAATGGCAACTAGTTCTAGTTCTGATTCATGATTGCTAGGTTTTGGTTTCAAAACGTTGCTCGTAGCGTCGCATTTCGATAGCTGGAAAATAAAATGCAATAACTTAGCTATTTGTTTATAATTCATGCTGTTACTAGTCATAAATTAATTTTAAACATTAGTAGCCAAGGCTACATTGTCATGGCCAGGAAACAGTCCTGACCTCAACTCTATCGAAAATTTGTGGCACCGTTTGAAAACTCTTGTCCGAATGAGGCGCCCATCAAATAAAATGGAACTAATTGATGCTATATTTGTTTCCTGGCATCATGTAATAACGAAAGAAGAGCTTAAAACTCTTGTCAGCTCAATGAAACGTCGACGTGAAGCTGTAATAAAAAATAAAGGGTACCCTACTAAGTACTGATAACTCACTGCAATCATCACTATCTAATGTATATCGATAACTATTATCGTTTAACTTTTTTTTGTATTGCAAATAATTGAATTTTGTGTTTTGTATTGAATTCAGTAATAAATTTTCTTTAAAATGATACATACAAGTTTGCATTTTGTGAAACGTAACATTTTCTATAAGCATACAAAGTTCAAAAACATAAAAATTTCCAAAAGTGTCCACAATTTTGGCAACCACTGTAGTGATTTATCTGATAGCTTTGACCTAATTTTGGTGCAAAAATTGTTGGCCACAGAAAATGTCCCTTTCAGAATCAATCGACGTTGGTTTTATACTGTAAATAGCTTCAAGTAACCACTTTAAATTTATAGTCAAATCACCATTACTTTTTTGACAAAGTAAATTCTTGACCTAATTTTTGAAAGCCTTTGGGTAGTTTTCTAGTTGGAGCTTCTAATAGTACTCTAAGTTGTTCTTCAAGAGAAGCACCAACTTTGGTAGTTGTTACTGCTTCATTGCTTGATTTTTCATTTGACGAATTTGGTGATGAATCTGGTGACGGAAATAAATGCTTCATCAAAGCAGTTGCTAGTTCTATAGAAGCTTTTGATGGCATTTTATTTAAGTTGTTTAGCGAATTAATCAAATCTATGATGTTTTTGTTGATCCTGCTATTGATATAAAAATCGATATTTTCAGAAAGAGAACTACCTTTTTCAGATTCTTGTTGAATTAACTTCTCTCGCATAAAGTTGATAGAAATATATGCTGTTCGTAAAGTGGTTTGTTTTTCACTCATAGCATTATTAAGTGCCACTTCAATTGGTTTTTAATGCCAAGACTATCGATTTTATTGATTCCAGGTTTAAATTTGTTAAAAGACGTTCAGATCCAAGTTCAATGAATACATCTTTTGTAACGTCATACAATTTTACAAATGTTTCAAGCATTTTCAGCATTGAATTCCATCTGGCTTTACAATCCAGATAGAGTTGTTGCTCTATCTGTAATTTTTCTCTACATTTAGATTTGAACAAATCTGATAGCACAACAGAAGTTTTGAAAAAAATTACAACTTGTCTCACAATATTTATGCTTTCCTTGAATGATTCATTCTGTAATTCAGTTTCATTAATGCTCAAACCATTATCAACATCATCAAAATCAAAATCATCAGTCTCTCTTGAATTTTCTTCTGTAATTTTTTCTGTACCTGATTTTTCTTTACAAAAAGTTTTTGTAACAGCCAAATGCAAGGCATGCACAAGACATATTTGATAAAAAGCAGATGATTCTTTTCCAAACTTGATCATAACACTTGCTCCATCCCCAGTAGTGGATACAATATCGTGCTTAAATGATAGACCAAAAGATTTGAGGTGCTTTTCTACGAGTTCTTGCATTTTTTTTGCATCGCAACTTCCAAAAATTCTTACCAGTTCAAGATTGATGCTTTTTTGACAGGCAGCATGCAGATTTATATTCAGGAATCTCCGGTTACAGATGCTGGTCCATTCATCCATGGTAATGGAGAATTTCTTTGATTCGGCAATATCTTTTTTAATATAACTTTTTATTTTTTGTTTCACAGTTTCCATATGGTTATGAAGAAGAGCCATTACAGATTTTTCATTGGCTGGAAGCTTCATACCCCTTAAGGCCAATGATTGTCGAATAAACTCTGACTGAGTGATTTGACGAATTGATAAACCATCTACTGCAGCCATTTTTGCAACAATCTCTTCAATTGATGTTTTGATTATGAAATTATCCAAAGTTTTTGTTTTTTTTTAGCTGTCGTTTCTGTCTCTGCTTTGTCAACGTCAATGTTATGAATGCTGCTTAGATGAAGATGCATTGTTGATGTATTTCCATTTTAAATGGAAATTTTTTTATTGCATTCATTGCAGCATGCATAATTTTGGTCTGCCTTGGCGAAATGACTCCAAACGATTGATCTTTTGTTTTTTGGCGTGATTACTATTCTAGAAAAAAATAGAAAATATTATTCTAGAATATGTGTGAACTCATGGCTGTAACTCCAATAATATTGACCATTTTTACCAAAATACTGTTAAAATTTCAACTAAATTTGTGTTGAGATATTAGTAATCGCATTCTTATTGGTTAAAAGGAAGTATAGCTTTCTGTCACGTCTGATGCATTAGCTTTCTGTCAGGTCCAAAGAATTCCAAAATTTAATCCCATTCTATTTGTTTATGATTTATTAAAACATAATCTGCTTGTATCTCTGTTTGTATTTCTGCATGCATTTCTCTGCGTATTACTCTGTAATAAATGTTTGTTTTGCGAAACACAGCATTTTCAATGTTCAACAATTTGTAATTTTGCTTTTTTACTGATACTAAGAAAATCATTATTTAATATTACATACATTTTACTACTTAAAATTAAAAGTAAATTGTTTCTTTCGGTAAAAATTAAAAATCCTTGCATTTCTAGGTACTGTACTGTATGTACTGTAGGTGGCAACAAATTCATCTTTTTACCCAAACAAGTTTCAACACTGTTCAGGTAAAAGTAAAAGCAATATTTTACTGTATATATTTAAAATCCTTTTATTGTTTAACTTTACTTATCTAATACAATTACAAAAGTTTTAGTTTTTATGTATTTAAAAAGGAGCAGTTTTATGATGCCAATAAAATGTCTTCTAGGATTCTTAAGAAATACGTCGAAAAATAAATTAAAAATAAAATGCAGAACAAAAAACATTTTGTATGTACAGAGCTCGAAAGCCCGCCGGGCTTTGATTTGAGTATCGAGTACTCGAAAATGACCAAAAATTATCGAGTATCAAGCTCGAGCCTAAGCTCGTTCCGAACTCTAGTCCCAACCACCATGGTTTAAATTTAGGAAGTGGTTGAAATACAACCAAAATTGTTATAATAAATTATATAACCAAAATTGTTGCAGTCTTAAAGTATTTTAAGACTGCAACAATTTTGGTTATATAATATGTTTTATTTAAACAATGTAACTTTATTGGTCTGGCTGGGAGAAAGAAAAAGTCAAGAGACAAGTATTTTACATGGATGAATTAATTAAACATAAAAAGATGAAGTATTACTATTGATCAAATTCGCTGAAGATATTATTGATTAAAAATTTTGTGAATTATGCATAAAAAGTGCTGTAGACATCGAAACATTAAATTTTCAAACTCAAATTTCTGAAAGATGCTTTATATGCTACTAAATATTGACATAGAACCATGAGTTTAAAATCCCATACAGAGCAAAGTTAAAATTAGAAACTTTTCATCCAGTAAAATTTAGTTTTTATATGAACTTCTAAAGAGCAAGATTTTGACTTTACTTTTACTGAGCAAATAAATTGTGTTGGTTTTATAAATTTAATAATTCTTTCGTGAATGATTTTATACATACATTAAAAACTAATTTTATCTCTTGAAACATCTTTAGAACACTAAGGAACAACTTACTAATTATAATATTCTTTGTGTTATGCATATGATTTTAATCTTAATCGTTATGAGTTCTAATTAAACCTGTGATACTACAACCAAAGAATATGTATTGTTAAGAAGGAAAGCTTCGCAGCAGCAGGAGTGGCTCCCTCCAAATGAAAAGGGACACAACTGAGCATGCGTGAAATATCTGTCGCCAAAAAGCGCCAAAGCTCGAAGCAGATGTCGAAGTTCGAACAGGTTCGACGGTCACGTTTATCAAGAGTTTAAAGCTGTATGACTCCATTGGTTTTCCCTACATATTGACAGATATAAAATCAGACTGCGATATGGATAATACAAGTTCAACTAGTAAAGCAAAAAAGCACGAAAATTCGAGTTTAAATTATCGCAAAAAGTCAAAGAATGATTCTTCTTAACCCGTCTTCCTCAATTTCCTGTACACGTGGCGAAGGTGGAAAATCTCGGCCAGGTACATCACAAAAAGGGAAATTCTCACCAACAGGTTCCATCGCCAAATCCCTTGGCGAATAGTCCCTCTTCTTTCTAGTGGCGTAGAAGACAAACTGGTTTACATTACGTCTGTGGAGCCTTTCCTTCTTTACATAGACTTTCTTTGCTACAACTTCCACTTCTTATGTTTTTCTGCATGCAGGTTGCTACTGCTATGTGTTTGCATGTTTCAGGCATAGTTAAGATATTAATAAATAATTTTCTTTCTATCCTTCACCATCTAATGTTTTATTTGCTTTAACTGCACAGATTTAATAATATTTATGCAAAAGATCCATATAGAAACTTAAAATTTCCTATACTGTACAGTAAAAAGTTATTTAAAATAGATATCTGCAGGAATAAATGGTAGTGTGATCTGGTCATGTTCTGAAAGCTACCTCCTTTGATTTATTTCTTACGGTCTTCAGCCAAAAACATGCTTATATGAGCAATTTTTTGAAATAGTCTGTACAGGTAATAAAAATAAGCATTTAAAATTGCAGTCAGACTACATAAAAATGACTTCTAAAAATGAAACACTTACAACTTTAGGATTCATATCGTCTAAGTGATTTTCAATAAATTGGACACTTGCACTCCAGTCTGCAGTGTTAAACTCATATGGAATATTCCAACCCAAAGGCCCAAATTTTCTTCTCTCCTAAAAAATTGCATTTTATACAGGAACTTTAATTCTAAAATATATATTAAGAAGTTTAAATTTTTTCCTTGATGACATCAATTTATCCATAACCTAATGAAATTTAATTTAATTAAGAAAATATTTATTATATGAATTACAGTGTAAGCTAAATAGCCATTAAATATTTTACCTATAATACTTAAAATGCAAATACAACATTCTAGAATAATGTAAATAAGTTCAAAATAAATACTTTCTACACAGGTCATAACTATTGCATCATTCCACATACACAATTTTTTATGTATAAGCAATTAAATGTAATAGCATCAAAGATTACTCTTTACAAATGTAGCAATGTGTAAAAAGTTTCCATGAGCTTTGATGATTAAACTGATACCTCAGTTACATGATGACATGTCATATTTTCTTGCCATTTCCCATACTATCCTTATATTAGGTAAAGAAATGCAATAACACTTCAGTATCCCTGCCATTTAACTGATATCAGTTAAGTGATTACAGAGAGTTCACTGATCTATTTAACATAATTTCAGCAATTTACACAGAGTGTATCAGTACAGCAGTGACAAATATTCAGGAGAAATAGATTACAACTAGACGATGGAAAATCACATAGGAATGCATAGTCAGAAAATGTTTTCTTGGTGCAGTAGTGATGACATAAAAGGCACATGAACGGGATGAGAACCCATGTTTATTATTCAGAGTACAGTAAAAACAAAGAAAGAACAACATAAAAGGACAACAATCATCATCAAAGAACGTGTTCAAAATTACAACCCATACCATGATGCAGGAAGCCTATGTCATGCATCTTCCACATGATCTTTTATGCGCCAGAGAAGTGAGGCCTGCATCACAGTCCGGAGTCATAATTTTGAGCACTTTCTTTTTAATGAGGATCGTTGTTTGCTTTTGTTCATATTTGTTGGTTTCTCCTGTACTAAATATAATAAGACATGCTTTTGTCTCACTGTTTGTGTCCTTCCATTCTTGTGTTTTGTATTGTCACTACCGTCCCAGGAAACATTTCCGATTATGCTTTGCTATGTGATTTCCCATCATCCGGACATACTCTATCTCTCCTGAAAGTTTGTCACTGCTGTACTGACACACCCTGTATAAGTTCCCTTTTGACGTATTATAATTTTTGAGTTTATGCACCCTCCCACCCCAACTGCCAATGTAAAAATGTCATGTATTACATTTAAGTGAGTACAGTCTTCCTGAAATTGATATGCAAGATTAAAATATTATCAAACTCTACTGATGATATTATGGTTTGCTTATATAAGCCACAACTCTTCCTGATGCTTATTTTTAAGTCTGATGTTACAATAATTTTTTTAAATATGTCACTAATCAGATAAGTATTGTTAAGTAATGAAAAATTATAATATAATAATCTCTACATATAATAAAAGAAAGTGTCTGTGTGTGTGTGTGTCTTTCTTTTGCACTGCGTGTAAGCTAATAGACCCACGACTATGAAATTTGGTATATAGGTGCATCTAGACAAGAGCCAGTGCACCTCGAAGTGATTTTTTCCAAATTTGAATTAGAATTTTTTTAATTTTATGTTTTGTGACAAAATCACCTCATTTTGAGACATAATGGGCTATAGGAAAGCGAGATTTTACTCTACACACTCCATTTTCACATAGTCATGAAATGTAGGTACTCAGATATTTTACAAACTTAAAACAAATATCGTGTTTCAATAAATTGATTAAATATGAATTTATTTAACAAAGGGAGCTTATCCCCTTTTCAACGTAATTTTTTCTAAAAAAGTTTATTTTTAAAAAGGTACAGTTTATTTTTCTTTGATTTTTAGACACGTTACTTTCATCCTTGCGGCTGCTTTTACAAAAAGAATTTTGGAAAAATGATAATATTTTGTATTTAAAAAAAAAAATTTTAAATGAAGCTTCCGAGTACACTTTTTATATCTCACATCTTTAAAAATGAAATTTTGGCAACAATTTTCCTTTCTTTTGGTGAAATTGCATCATTTTGAATAGTTTCATTCTTTTAGAAATATGGGTTTGGCAACAATTTTTCATCGCATTTCTTATGTCACTGTTTTTAAGAGATTGGCATATTTCATTGTCATTTATATATATATATAATACATTTTTATGGGTTTTTTTTGATAAAGTTGTTTTGCAGAGTAAAATTGTGTGCGGAAGTTTTTGTTTTTTTAGTTTCTTTCATGCTATTTTTTGCTTATTTCACTGTCTGTAAGTTTTGAAAAATTTTGCATGATTTTTTTTTTTCTTCAACAGAAAGTTGGTTCATTTTTTTAATTAGGATAATTAATATTTGTATTAATTATCCTAATTAAAAAATTATAAGATGTATTAAGGGATATAGCTTATTTCAATGTAATTTTTTTTTCTCTTGAAAATATAAGATAAAATATCATTACCTAATTATACTTTGCTTTTCAGAATTTTTTTTTTTTTTTGTATTCTTTTATGTTATTTATTGCTCATTTCACTGTTTTTAAGATATTGAAAAATTTTGAGTGATTTTTTTTAGGAAACAAAGTTCTTAACCTCTTTTATACCATTTGAGTTCTTAAGATTTTGCAAAGGGAAGTTGGTTAATTTATTTATTAGGATAGTTAATATTTGTATTAAGGGATATTGCTTATTTCATTGTAATTTTGTTATATGCAATAACTTTTTTTATGAAGCTGTTCTGCAGAGTAAAATTCTGCGCAGTTTTTAAATTTAACATTTGGTGTACCCTTCAGCCATTTTTCCATACATTTAAAAGCCAGATGAAGGCTGGCAGCAAAGCTGCTAGTACTATAATAAATTAATGTAATAAGTAATGGAAATGTGAATTCTCCAAATTAACTCCTACAACAAAGTCATTATAATCATTATAATTACCAAAAATCATATAGTACTGCCATAAATATATCAACTGCATTTAGTCATTTGGCACAGTTAATGTATGCTTTACCTGAACAACACTATGCATAAATGAAACAGCATACAGCATAGGCTGCCATTGATGGTATGATATTACTTCTAGTTGCTTCTGAGTTACAGTTGAATATGTTCTTTTGAGCCCTGCTCTCATTCCTTGAGGAGGTTCATTTGTAAACTTTATAGAAGCTTGCAGCAAAGAAATAGGAAACCTTTCATGAACTTCGGTGGTGATCCAACACCTAAAAGTATCATGGATTTTTTCAACAGTTAGCAGTTTGTCAAGGAGCTCATCCATGAAATCCAAACCTAAATGACAATTCTGTAGCAACATCCAGCCACCCTAAAAGCAAGATATAGGATATAATAAATTTAAAATGACTTTAAAATGTGAATTTTAAAATTGATGTGAATATAGATAAATATTGAAGTTTATAAAAGGTAATTTAATTTGAACATTCATAATAATGCAAGGCTAATAATAGTTCCAGTATTTAAATATTTTAATATTAAAAGAGTAAGATGATTGAAAAATCATTTAAGAATATTTTATACTACTTCCACAACAGGTATATCCTTCATCAGGATCTCCCTTGATAAAACATAATTAAATACTTCTACATATCATAAATAATATTTGAGATCAGATATATAGTACTTACATGATTACAGATGCAAGTAGGAATACCACACAAACAATGAAAGTTTGCAGAATAAATTATTAGGTGGCTTGTGTCAGATATTCTAATAACTGAATATTTTAAAATAAAATGATATTGCATAACTAACATATTTGAAAAAAAAAAAGGATATGATATATAAATATCCAATGATGACATATTCATTTTTTTCCCAAATATTAAGTAAATTCACAAAAATTACATTTCAAAGTTCTAAAAAGATAGTTCTTTTTAGAACAGCATTTCTTAATCTTTTGGATGAGCCCAGCATTGCGTATACGCGAGAGTAAAATGGAATGATTTATTTGAATTTTTAAAAGCCAGTAAATGGAGCTAAGTGGTAATTGTTTTCACATAGGTTGATTCATACGACATTTTACCTTCATGTACTGGCATTAGTTTTTGTTTTGTGCTTCTGGTTTTGAGAGAGTTATTGAAATAAACAAATTGGAAATCTCGTTGTTTATTTATTTTAAGTGCACAGCCACTGTGAATTAAAGGAGCACAGAGCACAGGCGTTTTTGTTTATTTCGTTAGGATATTTTTTGTTTTGTTCTTCTGTTTATTTTGAAATTTAACATACGCTTTCTTGGTTAATTAAAAAGTAACATTACAACATTATTACAGAAAGGGAAAGACTATCAGCTTTCTCAATGCATAATGTGTCTTGCTCACATTTCTCAGGAAAGAGCCAGTGTTTTTGTTTTTCTTACTCGATTTTATAGGTCATTATATATAATGCCCCCAATGGTCATTATATATAATGATATAGGCATTATATTTTGGTATATAATGTATTTACTTTACATATAATGTATAAATTGACGTGATCAGTAATGGATATCCCGCCAGTGGGGGTCTTTCCTTGATTACTTTCTGGTCATCATGGACGCTGTTTTCGATTTAGAAAAACAGGAAGTTTTCCAATATAAACTTGAGTGTCTTTTGAAGAAGTTTTGGGACATGTCTTGGGGTTATATTTAGTTTCATTCCGTTAGCCATGGCTAAGAGATTTTATTTAAAAATTTGTCCAAAATTACCGGACACTCCACCTTTCCGTCTAACTGAAAGACAGTTTCCAAAAATTTACGTTGACGGCAAACGTAATAAAAGTAGGAGAAGATGCGCTGCGTGCGCTAAAACCAAGGAAAAGCAAAACCAAACAATGTATTTTGAGTGCGAAATATGCAATGTAGGACTGTGTGTCGATCCTTGTTTTGAATTATTTCACATACAGCAGAATTTTTAAATTAGAATTTAATTACCTACAGGTAATTCTTGTTCAGTTTTTTTTTTTAAATTTATTATTTGTAATTTTTTTTTTTTCATGTTTATAGTACTTATTTCTGTGTGTATAGTAATGATTTTAGTATTTTACCTGTTTAATTTATTTCCATTAATGTGCTATTCTTTATATTAATACACATTAAAAACAAGCACATTAAATATACAACTTCAAAAATTGAAGTCATAATATCAAAATGCTGATTTTATATGATTTTTTTTTGTAAAATAAGCTTAACTGCTGAAAATGTACGGGCCGGTGGAGACGATCCATTTCAGCAGGTCCGGTCCCATGACAGTGCTTCGTTCTCCCGAAGCTGGTACTTAAGGGGTTAATGTCCACTTTTATCATAAAAGCTTTGGTTTGCTTCAACAGTGTGATTTTAATGCAGCATTCTATAAATAGATTATTTGCAACAAGAATGACAATAAATAAAACAATATTTACTTGCTTCAAAAATAAAATTATATTTATTTGCATTCAAATATAAAATTATATTTATTTGCATTCAAATTATATGTATTTGCTTTGAATAATAATTTGAAAATATGCTTCCTTTGAATATGTTATTTTAAGAGATTTTGAAATTAATCCGAAATCTCTTAAAATAACATAAACAGGACTTTTACATTTTAATTTTAATGAGATGAGTGGTACTGCTTTTTATTATCACATATATACACTGCTCAAACCAGTCAAGGGATATTGTGAGTTCTGTATGAAATAACCATACAATCGGCAACTTTTTAAACAAAAATTAAATAGAAGAGATTAAGGAAAACTATTATGCTCGGAAAGTGGAGAATATGCAAATTTTGTCTTTGATGACGACTATGCGTTTTAGATAAAGAGTGAAAAGCGACCTGTAGTACTCCTTTTGTAGGAAGAGATTAAAAACAAGTGGCATGCGTTGAATGTTTTATAATAGTATTACAATGTCTTAGCAAAATGACTTAGATGAATCGGTAATCTAGAGGGCCACGAGGTCGTTTAAAGGCTGGGCAAACACAATCCATTGTAGTGGAAGCGTTAGGAGCTTCTCAATGTGTCATTTCCAGACTATGGAGTGCCCACCAGCGGCTGAGCGGTAAAGATGCTGAACACTAGTAGTTCGGTCTGAGGTTCAAATCCTGTGAACGGGCTGGCTGCATGGGCATTTTTGTGGTTTTCCCCATGTGTAATGTGCATACGAGCCAGTTTCCCTTAGAAAGTCCTCCACAAAGCCCAGCAACCAAGGATGAATTTATTCTCATGGATTATAACGCCAGGCCACATCGTGCTCAGCTAGCGAACCATTTCCTTTTTGATGAAAGAATCCTTTGAATGGATTGGCCACTCTCAGAAACAATTCAGCAGTTTGAAAGCTTTCTCCTACAGGAGTGGAAGTGTCCTTTATTGATATAGTTTGACCGCTTCATCCGCGACCATGAGCCCAAACATACTCTCAAAATGCGGTGGAAGGATGGGGACTTTCTTTCCCTCAAGCATATAAATTCTCTCTTTCCGGAGAAGAGAAGACGTTCACGTGACGTTTTATGTCGCAGAAAGTAATAATGCCCCTTTTGGACTAGTCTATGTGCTTTGGCAGAATGCCAGCCAAGGATGCGTTTGAGTAGGTCGAACTACAACCATATTGATTCCATGCCTCATATGTGTGTGACATTACTTTCCGTCAGGGAAAAATGGTCAGGGGTAATGAAACTCACTTGTATTCGAGATACCAAGATTTTGTTTGTTTGTATGATATGCACAAATTGTGCATCTTTGGTTTACTGCCAAATATTGTCAATAAAGTTTAATTATTCATTGTTTGTTGTTTCTTTGTCTTTTCTCACATCTTTTACCTTTACATCATATATCAATCACCAAAACATTTCCTCATCCGCAGTTTATATTCAAAATCATAATATCCCCTAATTGCTGTCCCAGTGTACTTGAATATTAGGCTTTATGGATGAAAGTTGAATTTTCATATCATGTCGGCGGCAAGTCTATTGCAGTATTTATCTTGTATCAACTCATACAGAACAATAATTCATATAGTTGCAAATAGTAAAAGTTCCCATTTCTATCAAATAATCGCCTTTTCAAATCAAAAATACGAGTTCATATCTTTCTTCAAGATTACCATCTGACTTAAACATGTAAAAGAAGAGATGCATATACCCTTTCCATGATCTTACACAGAGTTTTGAATAAACAATTATTTAGTGGCTGAGATTTTATGAAGTTAATGACTTTGACGATCACCAAGAGCAATCTCATAACTGGGAGAATTTTTTTTCCCAGCAATTACCTGCCAGTGAGTCATGCAGTGGTTACTAGAACAAGTTTCGATGATAATTTTAAGGATGTTCAACCCCATAAATTACGCCACTCATGGCCTCTGCTCCATCGATACAAATATCAATATATTCGTACCATGGTATCTGTATGTGTAATCATTAAAAAAAAAAAAAATTCTGTTATCCTTATTGGATTTTCTTATAATTTACATTTAGGTTTCCGAGTTCTTTTACTTCTAATTTTATGAAAGATAATGTGTGATGCTCAAATAACCAATAAAGCTTATCAACATACAAAAAATTAACAAAAATATTTCAATCAATTTATATTTTATGAGACACATATTGACAAGTGACTATTATCCCAGCTACTCGCAGCATCATTTTATACTCAAGTATATGGAGTTCCTCTGTACTTTTAAAACTAGGGGGCCCCCGCATTTCTAGATTTGTGGAATTTCCTATGTCTAGCGATCAATAAAGAAATAAGCACAGGAATCACTGATAGCGGAATTCCGAGCAATCCCCAGCGTGGCTGCTGCTGTAGAACACTAAAAATTATCTTGATGGCGTGAACAGGACGTCTCATTGTCGCATTTGCATCGATTATGCAGATTAGTAAGTAGGAGTGAAGATTAGTTCTTTTACTATTTTTTTTTTCATTTAGCGGAGGTATTAATTTTATTGCTTTTTTAAGTTACTTTGTTGAATATTACTATTATACTATTATATTACTATTTTTTTTTTTTCATTTAGCGGAGGTATTAATTTTATTGCTTTTTTTAAGTTACTTTCTTGAATATTATGAAAAAAAGCACAAAAGTTTTACGGAATCCTTCTGTGATTTTCATGGAAACCCAGAGTCCAGTGGAACATAGTTTAGTAAAGCTGTTTTAGAACTTTAGAATAAGATCATTATTAAGTAATATTTAATAATGATCTTATTTAAATAATTTCAAGTATGTGCTAAATAAATTCCTTTATCAACAGCTAAACAGCAGTTAACTTAGCATAATGATAACTAAATTAAACCTGAAAATGACATCAGCTTTCTTGATAAATATTAAGGTCATACTGAAAATAAAGCAAAAGT